CCCAGGGTCCAGTTCAAATCCCCTCCAAAGTTTTTTAGGGATCTTTCTACTGACTGAATGGTGCTTCAGATAAGGCTCTTGGACTGTGAATGGCATGAAAGCCTTAATCCCAAGGGTGTTCTGACTCTTCCCATCTTCTAGTTGACTGGAGCAACTAAAAGATTTAGTCCAGAACATGGATGAGTGCTTTGGGGAAAGACGTTTTTCCCAAATCATTTTGATCACAAGTAGCAAACAGGGAAGGAAGCCCCTCCTGCACACCTTTCATAATGCCATAGGTCCAGAGCAGTAAAACCGAAATTTGAGTGTATTTTATGCCTGCAACTAGGGAACAGCCCAAGTGATACCCTGTGCTATGCAGGGCCTCTGGTGACAAGCTCTCAAATGGTCACTTGTGCAGCAAGGGACAACTCTAGTACAGTAGGTGATATTTCCATAACGATTCTCTGCTACATGTTCAATGATTTCCATTAAAATTCACCACAGACTGATGCTACCAGGACCAACTACCTCTCAGGCAAACAAGCCTGCCTCACAAACCCAGAGACAGACAGCTGAGATCTTAATAATTTCTAAAAATCTGACATTCCTTTATATTTGAGTGATGCTAATAACAACTGCTATTTTAGTTTCCCTCTCTGATGCCTTCCCTTCTTACCCAGTGCTGACGTTGTGACAGTGATGACAAGATGACAATATAAAGCCTGAAAAATCTAAGCATAAGCCAAGGGTTAAAGGGACCCTTCTTCAGTGCATTTCAACCTCAAATATGGCCTTTATGAAAATAAGTTTATAAAAAAGTTCAGATAAAGACATGTCCTGGTATGTCTTCAACTGCAATGAAAACCATTTCTTTTGTTTGAATTCCAAATCTTCCTACAAGGTATTTCCAGCACTGAGATAAAATGCAAGAGTCAACAAGAAAAAGTGAACACTAATGAAAGTAAAGCTAGACAGTCTGTTTTCTTTCCATGAATGCAAAAAATAAAGAGTGGCCTTAATAATGAATGTAAATTATATTTTTAAAGGTTATTTCTATTTTATTACTCTAAGATATTAAAAATATTAACAAGCTTTAATGTACAGTTTTGAAGTACATATACATTATTGAGCTGATTCACTAGCAGACTGCTAGAAGGCTTTCTGAGGAGAGAAAGTGGGGCTTTCCTACAGCTCCCCGATGTCTCATTTTTAAGGAAAATAGAGCTTCATGAACCCTCCTAGCCAGACAGCCATTAAAGGAAACAACATCAGGCCCCTGCCAGTTTGGTTTTATGTAACACCTCGTTAACTAAGTCACCGTTTCTCTACCTCAGTTTCTGATTATGTGGTGCAGGAGAGAGTAATAAAACCAAAGGAGGTTAGTTTCCAAAAGGAAAAACCCACTAACTAATGGTTGTTACTTATTTTAATCTTAGACAGCAGTGATTTTTCCAGAACCAGGTATAGCTTGTTCTATAAGGTAAAATCAAGAGATTAATTCTCTTAAATTATCTTTGAGGGTGATTGCTCATGGTCTTTCGTTACTGCCTGAGTGCTCCTTTTACTTGCTCGTTTGAAAAAAGCAACAAAGAAATTGGTGCAATGGAACAAGAAACTGTCCTACAGTAGCTAATCAATAGTTCTGTATCTCTGAGGTGGCAGCACGTTAAATGAGGAAAATTCCAGTTCCCAGTTCTTCGTTCAAGGTTAATTACCGAAGGCTGATTTCACAGTCTCAGAGACTGACAGGCCAAACGCAGGAAGCCTCAGAGCAACAGACCATGTGTAAAAAATAGATTGGATTTCTTGAGGTTCCTCCAAGCATAATGGATGGGATGTGAAGAGAGACAGCTTGAAAGTGGCCGCACCGACTATATGCTCTGCGATTCCGATGACCTAGGAAGAAGGATACCTCATTTCTGCAGCCATGGGCCGATTCTGGCAATAAATGGTACATCAGTGGGCAAATGGCATTGCTGGAGGCACAGTGTGGCCAGTTCGAAGTCTTAATTTCCAAGTGCCCAGGCAAGAAAATTAGGGAAGCTCAAATTCATGCTGGGGTAGAAAAATTTTGATTTCCAGTGTCCCTTTATTGCTCTTACAGTAACAGTGATGTTGATGTGTAATGGCTCTGAAGCCTTACTTGATAAATGCATGATGTATAACCGGCTCAGCAATGTTTGTAATTTATTTAATTTAATATTGGTTTCGTTCTTTTTTGATAATAAAGAATGTGTGAACAATCATCTGCTGCTTCTGCTGATTCAAGAGCTGGCTTTCCATGGCAGCTCCCATCAGGTATTAAGCATCGCAGGACAGTTTACACAATGGGAAGACAGGATAAATCTTCAAATCCAGTACAAGACAGCTGTAAAGAAGGGAATAACATTTTTTCCGTTGTGCTCCCTAAACCAGGCAAGTAACGCGTTTTGAAAACCCGGTGGATTTAAGCCCCTCGGGAGCGGGGCTGGCACAGCCCAGCACACACCGCTGTGCCCGACGTGGGCCCGTCCCTCGGCCTGCTCCTCACCAGCGCCCTCCTGCCCACCCTGTGGCTCTCGCCACCTCACTGAACCTGCGGGTGGTTATTCCCCACGGGCACCCCTTTTCCCTCCGTCATTTTGGGAGCAGCATCCTGAGCCCCAGCGCTCTCGGCCTCCCAGTGGGCTCCAGGCACAGCCCAAGCCAGGGTGAGGGGACATTCCCATTATTGCTTGCTGCTGTGGGTACCAGACACCGTTAGCTACGGCTCCCAAACGTCCCCTCGAGATAAGAAATATGCGATTTCACGCAGGGGAGAGAGCGCCAAGGCGCCCGGCCCGCCCGCCCGCCGCCATTTCAAATGTTCCGCGGCGCGGAACTACAGCTCCCAGGAGCACTCGCGGAGGGGGCGGGTCCAAGCCGCCCATTGGCCGTCCTCGGGGGTGGCTGCGTGACGATTGGCGTTCGGCCACGCCCGTCCGCTCCTCCGCGGGGCGGACGGCGGCGGCGGCCGAAGTCCGCCGGGGATGGCGGGCG